CAAACTCCCATTGAAAAAGCAACATGATGGTTGGAAAAGAGAAATTTATTGATCTAAGGAATGAGCAACAAGTTCACTTTTGAAATAAAATACTCCATTTACCCACTCTCAATTAAATTTTTTTTAAAACTTAAGACATACCTGACAGTAAGATGAAATCAATACTTTCTCAATATATTTTGCTATTAGCTTTACCATGACGCAGAAAACTTCATTCAAAACTTTTCATGATTTTTTGCCATTGACCAATCAAACATAGTCTTAGGGGAGTTCCGGCAAAGTGGCGCTCTAGGCAGAAGCACCACGCCGCCCCTCCACAGCAAAGATCCGAAAAACTAAGCCAAACAGAGAATACAACAATCCTGAAACCCTAAAACATCAAATGAAGAGATAAGGAACTCAGCCAAGCACCAAATGGAGTGAAAAAACTGACAGAGAACGGAGAGCGAGGAGAGATTCATGCAGAGGTCCCCTACCAGCTAACGCAGTGCGGATCCACATATTGGACTCCTATCGGAGACCAGCAAACGGGGGTACGAGAAAGCAGCCTCATGGAGCATCCAGCGGGAGACAAAACAACCGTCTCTCATCTCCATTCCAACAGCAAGCTCCCCTAGCATTCTTTTTTGTTTGTTTGTATGTTTTTGGCTCCTGTTCCTCTCTCCCATATCCATCTTAGCTCCACACATAACAATCCCCCTGCTGCATCCTGCCTACCTGCACCGTGTGCTTGACATCACACCACCAAGCAGTACAGGCACGGCCTACTGGAACCTGCCCTGCAATGATTACCGAACTGCCCTGGTGACTGTAGTAAGTGCCACAAACAACCTGTCCCAGTAACTCCTCTTCAGCTAGACCTGCCCTGCTGTACCATATCTGAGTGACTGACCCTGCCAGTTGGAGAAGGAGGCAAAAAGTATTGAGTGCACAGACGAGCAAACAACAAAGAACACACAGTCCACCTGCTCAGACATAGTCAAATTTTGTTTTAAAAAAAGGGACAAAACAAATCTACAGTCAATAAACGAGAAAAATAACTACTGAATGCCCCGAAAACAGCAGACAATATCAAAACATTCACAAAAACAGGACAGGATGGTTCCAGTAGGCATCCAAAATAAAACACCAGATGGCTCTCCTGTGGAAGAAAATGCACTAGAACTACCTCATAGGGAATTCAAATCTCTAATACTTGGAATTCTCCAAGAACTGAGGCAAAAAGCTGACAAACATGAGGAAAAAATAGACAAATTCTTGGAAAATACAGACAAAGAATTGGAAGAATTCAGGAAGATGATGCAGGAACAAAATGCCAAATGGATTCACAACTGGAAATTATACAAGAACAACAATTAGAAATCCAAAAGATAAACAACAAGCTTTCAGAAATGGATGATGTCATAGAAGGGCTGAGAAGCAGATTTGAAACGGTGGAGGACAGGATCAGAGGAGCTGAAGACAGGCACTTGGATACAACTCTGTTTCAGGAAAACTCAGAAAAAGGAAGAAAGAAAAATGAGGAGACCCTGAGAGTTATGTGGGACACAATTAAAAGCAAAAATTTACGAGTGATTGGCAGGCATACCAGAACAGGGGCAGAGGGCAGAGAACACAGAGAGGATCACTGAGGAACTGCTGACAGAGGACTTCCCCAGTATCATGAAGGATGAAGGGCTGGCCATCCAGGAAGCTCAACAAACCCCATATAGAAGAGACCCCGGAAAAAGATCACCAAGGCATATTGTGTTCACACTCACCAAAACCAAAGACAAACAAAGAGTCCTGAGAGCGGCTCGTGAAAAACAAAAGGTCACATACAGAGGAGAAACAATAAGACTAAGCTCAGATTGTTCAGCAGAAACCATGCAGGCAGGAAGGCAATGGGATGACATATATAAAATCTTGAAAGAAAAAAATTGTCAGCCGAGAATAATACATCCTGCAAAACTCTCGTTCAAATTTGATGATGAAATTAGGTCATTTCTAGATAAACAGAAATCAAGGGAATATGTAAAAGTCAAGCCAAACGTACAAGAATTATTAAAGGGATTTCTTTGATCTGAGGACAAACAGCTTCAGCTCACAGGCAGAACCTAGGACGCAGGATCGTACAAGCCAGATACCAATCCAAGAAATGAAATCTCGAGGACTATCCAAAACCAAAAGAAATACAACAGGGAATCAGAGCAGTTAATCAATAAATGACAACAACATCAAAACAATAAAAGAGGGAATAAACGGCATAGGTATAGAA